TTCTATCCTGATTACTTCAAGGAACCACAGGACCACTGAAAAACACAGATATTTGCTTTATGATTCATAACAGTAACAAAATTATAGTTATGATGTATCAAAGAAAATAAGTTTTGGTTGGGGGTCACCACAATATAAGGAATTATATTAAGGGGTCACAGAATTAGGAAAGTTGAGAACCATTTTTCTATAGTATCCCAAAAATGTCTTACTAGCTGGAGAAGCCTTTAAATACATGAAGGATTTCTAACATGCAAACTATAATACATGGTCACAGAAAGGTTCCAGCTGCTAGATGCCTTCAAGGGAAGCCATTATGTTCTCTGGTTCTGATGGTCTGTATCTTCCTTACATTGGAAAACTAAAGCTTCTTTCACCACTCATTATCATTCCTAAATAGGGACACAAGGTTAGAGGTGCAACCTGATGCTTTGTTACATCTCTTGGTTTTATGCCTTGCCATTTTCCCATCCTGGAATTAAACTTTTTACCAACAAATTCACATTCTTGTCCATTCTCTAGAAGTTCAATGTCTACCATCTGCTTTCTGGCACTCATTCACATATCCCTTCCCCTTTCCTTTTAAACTTTAACCTAACTTTAACCAAGAATAGCTATAAAGAAAAACATGGATGTGTCTTTACAGAATGGAAGAAGCACCAATCCTCAGATGATTTTCAGCTCCAGCAATTCACATAGTTCCCCTCTAAGCCACAGACTGTCATCCCACCTCTCTCTTCATTTTCTATGCCAATTGGCCTAGCTTGGAGCAAGGTGGGATCACTACCCTTGGATCAAACAAGTCCAGGAAATCTCGGAGGCCTAGTGATGTCACAGCATTCATGATGAGCCAATGCCATGTCCCATGGGTCACAGGCTAAGTTTACACTCTTCCCTCTTATGATTCAAGTGCCCTTGCCTCTAGACCTCTTCTACAACTACTGGCTCATCTGCTCTGTTCCATGCTTACCATCCCTCTCTAAATATCCTCTCTCTGCTCCTATCTGTGCCTCTGTTTAATCCACACCTCTGCTCTTCACAAAGATCTTTCCCTCCCCCGAGCAGTGGGACAAGGACCTGTCCCTGATCCATGAGCAGGTTCTTTGAAACCTGTTCCCTATGGTGGGATGCCTTGTTCAACCTTGATGCAAGGATGTGAAGAGGAGTTTAGTCCTGCCTCAACTTGATTTGCCATGCTTTATTAATTCCGTGCGAAGCCTTACCCCATCTGAATGGAGACAGAGGATGAGTGCATGAAGGGAGTAGAAGGGAGGTGGGGAGAGGGCACAGGAGGAGAGGAGGTAGAAGAAACTGTGCTTGGTATGCAAAATAAATTTTAAAAATAATAAATAAATTAAGTAAGTAAAAACTTAAAAAGAAAAGAAGGCTTCCCTTCAGGAAGTCTTCCCTGAACATTTCACATCTACCATATTTTCTCTTTTATGACCAATTTCCTTCCTATGCTGAATGTTATCTCCTTGAGCCACTCAGGTTTCCAGCAAGAATCAAATGACATGCTCAAATCAGGCAGGAAAATGGGAGAATATATTTATTTTAGGTACTGGATTGGATGTCAGTTCTGAGTCAAAAGGAGCTCTGAACCCAGGAAGGCTGACTAATAAACAGAATCTTCTTTGCCTCCCTATCCACTTTCAGTTCTTCCAGTCCAAGAAGCTGTTGGTTGCAGTGTCAGATTTCAGAGTATGAATTGAACCATGCTTCTTAATGGCTACAGCCCCTGCATATTAAAAATTCCCTTGCATATGCTGGCAAGTCTAGGCTCCATCCACTCTCAAACAGCAGAATGGGGGTGGGCTTCATAGATACCAGTGTCTTTTTTTTTTTTGATATCCTCTATTCACAAATGTTTTCAGCATATTTATTATTTTGACCTCCCATAAGACCTCTTCGAAGAAAATACAAATTTAGGTTTAAGTGGAGGTAGTAGACTTTTATAGGTCTTTAGTATAACCAGCCTTACCAAAGTCCTTAGAGGAGGGTAGAAATTGGCCTGGATAATAACAAGAATTTCCTTTCTTCTTTCACTCGTTCCTGCTGTCACTGCAGCACCAGTCCCTGGGGATACTGATAGAACCTACTAGTGTTTGGCAGCACAGGCGGACAAGACAGATATAGGTATTCTAGATTTTCTTGTAATATTATCAAAAGCCCACCTTTCCTGGAACATGAGCACACTCTCTGCTTAGGATTGGGTGTGGCCGATGTACTGTCGTTGGTTGGGGCCCTCTAGTGTTGCATTCTATTTCAACTATAGTAAAAAGGGATGCTGGCAAGGAAAGAACTTGATCTGAGGAAGGTTGGAGACAATTTGTCAGCACCTCTAACTGAGTTTCTGAATTGCTGTGGCTTCTCCATATGAGACCCCAGCCCATCTGGCCCCAGCTTTTCTGTGCTGATATATGTCTGTCTATCTATCTGTCCTTTGTTCATTCCCTTGCCACCCCAGTAAGGTCAGTTCCTGGAACTCTGCTGGGCATAGCACTTAATGTTTTTCTATATACATATTTAAATCATGAATTTTTTTTCTTTGTCCCATTACTCAGCCGGGTCTTGGGTCTCTACTACCTATTTGCATCCAACTGATTGTTTTACCTGGACTTCAGAGAGCTGGAGTTTGGAGTCTATAATTTGAATCAACAGAACTCATAGAGTATAAAGTTTACATTGATGCTTCATTGTCCCTTTAACTTAACTAGAGGGTGCCATCCTTCTAGACTTAAAAGAAAACTTAGGCTGTGCAGTGCTAGTTCCAGGACCAGTAGGCTGTTACACAGAAAGATCTTGTCAGAGAAAGAGAGAGAGAGAGAGAGAGAGAGAGAGAGAGAGAGAGAGAGAGAGAGAGAGAGAGAGAGAGAGAACTAGGCAATTCTATAACTTTTTGTCATCACACTGAAGTACAAAAAGTACCATCTTCTGAGAAAGGATCCAGGGTGTGCAATTTTGTCTCCTTGGGACATGGCTGAGAATGTGGTAAGAATTAAGTTAATGTCTACTGAACAAATAGATGGTAAGTGAACAAATGAATGTTAAAGGCAATGGCACCCTCAATGCACCTTACCAAACAATGAGGAGCACACCTGGCCCACTGCTGATTAATGTGATGCAACTCTACCATTGCTTTCTCTCTTTCTGTGGTCTAGATTGTGGAACTTAAGCCTTCAGTTCTTCCTTCTCTCTAGTTATTTAACAAAGTCTGGTGTACTTGGGATATGAGGAGCCTAAAGATGATCTTTCCCAATTTCTACATTATCCAGCAGAGGACTAAAAGAAGTAAAATAACTTGTTCCTGGTCAGAGGGTACATTTATGCCAGGAAACCTCTAATATCCTTAAGGCTGCTAGGATAGAAGTTCGCATTGCAATATTCAAACCAATGCATAACTTTTTATTTATTAATGTAATTCTTTTTGAAAATTTATTAGAGTTTTTAAAAATACCAATCCAAGTTCCCACTCCCTCCCCTCCTCCCATTCCCTCTACACACCCTCCCACCTCACCCCCATCTAATCCTCAGAAAGGGTAAGGCAGATTGCTTTGGGGAAGGGCCAAGGCCCTCCCTATGATATCTAGGCTGAGCAAGGTAGACATCCAAAGAGAATAGCATCCTCCAAATCTAGTACATGCAATAGAGCTAAATTCTGGTGCCACTGCCAGTGGCCCCCCAGTCTGCCCTAGCCATGCAATTGTCAACCACATTCAGAGGGACTAGTTTGGTCCTATGCTTGTTCCTTCCCAGCTGGAGTTGGTGAGCTTCTATAAGCTCAGGTAAACTGTTTCAGTGGGTGAACCCATCATGATCTTGACCTCTTTGCTCATATTCTCATTCCTTCCACTCTTGGGACTTTGGGAGCTCAGTTCAGTGCTCCAATGTGGGTTGAGACTTTATTTTTAATAAGAAACAGGTTCTCATGACTCAAAAATCCAAAGATATAAAAGGCCACCTCACTTTTCCTATCTTTAGCCAACTATATTCCTCTTAAAGACAGTCAGTGGCAATGATTTCATAAGTCTCCTATAGGAGATGGCATGGCATGTACATCTAAAAGTAGTGTGTGTGTGTGTGTGTGTGTGTGTGTGTGTGTGTGTGTGTGTGTGTTCATATGGTCCCCAGAACATCACTATTGAAAGTCAGACCTGTAGGAAGTTAGGTCTAATAGGATATCTTTGGTCATTCAAAGTGTGCCACGCTGGAGAGATGGCTCAGCGGTTAAGAGCATTGCCTGCTCTTCCAAAGGTCCTGAGTTCAATTGTTAAGAAGATATGACAATACGTAAAAGATGAGTCGGAAACCCAAAACTACCCAAAGAGATAAGTTAGGAAGTGAGTCAAATATGGAGGAAAGGTAAGAATAGCACATGGTAACAAGTGTGAGAAACACCCTGAGGAGAATCTGACAAACGGATAGAATGAAGAATCAAAACACTAGGTGAAATATATGTGTGAAAAACAACAAAACAAAACACTGTACCGTTCAGCTTTGCATTGCTACAGTGAAATATCTGCAGTAATTTATAAATATAAGAGGAAAATTGAGCTCATGCCTGGGATCTCCACATGTATGATCTTTAAATTTCAGATCTTTGGTAAGAGTGGAGAGCATGTGTTGGAGAGAATTACTTGTACTTACTATAAGCCAAGAAGATTACTGGGTCCCACAATTTCTTTTGGTGGTACACTTTTTTAAAAAAATATTTATTTATTTATTATGTATACAATATTCTGTCTGTGTGTATGTCTGCAGGCCAGAAGAGGGCACCAGACCTCATTACAGATGGTTGTGAGCCACCATGTGGTTGTGGGGAATTGAACTCAGAACCTTTGGAAGAGCAGGCAATGCTCTTAACCACTGATCTCTAGCCACACTAATTTTTCCTGAAAAAATATGTAGTTACCCCAGACAGGGACCAAATCATAGAGCGAATAAATGATTCCACCAAAGTTAAGACTAGCATATTAATAAGTTTATTGAGTATACTTATAGAGCATTATTGAGAGTACACTTTAAAGAGTGAGGGTTATCCCAAACAGCTATATCATTACAAAGTTTCATCTCATCATGAATGATGACCTCACGGAACTCCGTAATTATATATATTTAGCATCTCCCAAGACCATGTGCAAGTTGGAGCAAGAGAGAGTAATAGTTGAAATCCAAGAGGAATGTCTTATGACTGTAGATTCCTTCCTACGATGGAGTATCAGTAGCTCCAATAGCATCACTATTGAGCAATCTACTTCAAAATAATTATGAAATTACACCCAGTAGAAAAGTGTCATATTACAAGTTAAGGAAAACCATAAAACTTACTTTCCCAAAAAGCTATAAACAGGGAAAAAGGAATGAAAAAAAGAGATCTGAACCATATCCACTCTGTTTTTCTTCCTCACTCATTTTTGTGTCTCTGTTTCTAGTTCAGGGTGCTAAATACAGACAACCAAAGCTCAACTGAATAAAACTAATAGGCTAGAAGTTCCTACTACACTAACGACTTTCAGATGGACTAGCCTATCACATAGGCTGATCATTATGGCAGATAACCACGTAAAGGGCCCATATATCCCTCCCACAGCACTTGTGAAATCCTCAGGACAGTTGTCACATCTCTGAATGCATCATAGTTACAACAATTCTAAAAATGTGGTCATTTGACAAGTATCATGACCATCACCTGGGAACCTGTTGTTGATGATCAAGTCTCTCTTCAAACATGAATCATAAGCTCTGGGGTGGTGTTATGAGTGTACATATGAATCCATAGAGCACCTCCTGAGATTTCTAGAGTCTTTTGCCAGAATAATTAATCTGACCGGGAACATATATATAATGATAGTAATAGATAGATAAAAGATAAAAAGATATTCCTGGGATCTATAGAAGAGTACTAATGATCTGGGAAAAGACAGACATTCAAAAGCACTGTGCCATCTGGGTTCTGATCATTCATAGGTTATTTGCATAGCACCAACTTTCTCCTGTGTAATATCATGCACTTTTCTTGTATTTGATCTTTTTGGTAGGTGAGGCCAGGTGAAAAAGGATTTTTCTTCCAACTTAATTTATTTGTTACTCTTGATGCCTATCTCCAAATCTCTACTCTTCTTCTACAATTGGAATTATATATCCATGGATTAAAATACCCTCCAGGTACTTATGATGTCAAGTTTAGAGGAATTGAACTAGAGTACCACACCTGGACTCCTCAATACATATGACTCCAATGTGAAATTGACATTTAGGAGGACAATGTGTTCCTTCCAGAATGTTCTGTCACTAATGAAAAATATGATCACCTGACATGAATAGGAATTCATTTGACTTTTAAGAATAATTAAACAAGATACGACATCCAGTCTTCTGCAAGAGTAATTGTCCTTATACAAATAATAATGATAACTAAAAGAAAAATCATTCAAGAGAAAAAGGAACTACTTACATTAGGGAATGAAGTAAATGCATTTTGTGAAACATTTCACTGATGTCAAAAGATGAATGAAGTAGAAGTTTAATTTTTTTTAAATGTACCTACTGATGCTAAATAGAGTAACACTTATGTGAATCAGCATATATGCAACTCTTCAAAGACTCAAGAATAGCTATTGTTTTCACATTTGATGAATTGTCAAATGGCCAGCACATGACCTCTGGTCATGACTACAGGGTATATGAAGATATACTGAAGTCACTATGTGTGCTTTAAGGTCTTTGAGATCATCAGTGCTACATGGACAGTACAAATGACTGAATTAGAGATCATTGTGATTGACTTCATGTGTTTGCTTCATTCCCCAGTTCGTATAATCTGGGCAAGTTTTCTCTGCCCAACTAAAACACCACAGAGATTTCTTGCTCCCCAGTTGATGGGGAAATAGAACTGGTTCTTTCCATTTTCTCACCAGGAAGGAATGGAATATATTTCCCCAGGTAGATTGCCACGTGTCGGTGGAAAAAAAGCCGAAGGTGTTTCCGGAACCTCTCGCCAACAAAGGCATAGATGATTGGGTTGATACAGCAGTGGGTGTAGGCAATCACCTCAGTCACCTGCATGGCCAGGTCCAGGTGTTTGCTCTGTTGACAGCTGTTCTCCAAAAATGTGCTTTGAAAAGCAGAGAGAAGAAGAACCAGGTTGTATGGGGTCCAAAAAATAAAAAAGACTATCATGACAACAAAAATAAGCCTGATGGCCTTGTGCTTTTTTTTATTGGGGCATCTCAGCAGAGTTTTAATGATTCCTGAGTAGCAGACGACCATAATGAGGAGAGGGAGAGCTAGACCAAAGATATTCATTCTCAGAGCATGGAAACGCTTCCAGCTGTCTTCTTCACCCTCTGGGTAATGAGGACCGCAGAAATGCTCTCCATCGTTGTCTTGGGACACATAGAAGATAAATTCAGGGAATGCGGCCAGCCCTGCCAGTCCCCAGGTGATGATGCTGGTGATGGTAGCAAAAGTCACAGTCCGGGTTCTCAGGGCAAACACAGCATGAACAATGGCCAGGTACCTGTCAATTGTCAGCAGGATGATGAAAAAGATCTCACTGTACAGGGCAAGGTAGTAAAACCCAGAGATCACTTTACACATGTGATGGCCAAAACCCCATTTATTCCATGTAACATAGTGAATCCAGAATGGAACAGTGAAGAGAAAGAGCAGGTCAGAAATTGCCAAGTTGAGCAGGTAGATATTAGCCATAATTTGGAGCTTCCTGTACTTTATGAGGATCAACACAACCACCATGTTGCCTAGGAGGCCAATGATGAATACCAGGGAGTACAGTGGAGGTAGGAGCCATGACCCCAGCTCCTTGATGCTGACTTTTTCACAGGGTGTTGCCCACTCATAATCATAGGGTGTGGTCTCAAAGCTTTCAGCCATGTTCTCGGTTTTATTTATGTGGAATGCCATTCACTGGTCTCTGTAATAGAAAAAAAATTTAAAAAATAACTGTGTGAAACATACCAGTTGATTATTCAATGAAGAAACTCATGTTAAAACTTGTTTAGTACGTATTTTAAAAGATATATCTGAAATGATCTGAGTAGGGATCAGGAGGAGAAACTCTGCAGTTCTCAAAGTCATCATGATAGAAAAGGAAACAGAAATGCTGTGGCTGGTGGCAAAGAATGGGAATATTAATTTCTGAAAGTAATTGAAGGAGGAAATTCAAAGTTTTGAACTGAGAAATGAAAAGAATAATAATTATATGACCCATTCATGCATGTAATTATTATTACTACTGAATATTTTAATACATTTAAAAATTTTTATTTTATATTTTATGACTTTCAAAATCACTACCTTCATATAAATTGCAAAATGTTTATGATATTACTAATGATAACCACTTTTCTTGGGTCCTTTGATTAACATGTCCAAAACACTTAATGGGGAAACTGATACTTACTGAAACATTTATCTGAAATTTTCTAGTAAGGAAGTATAAAAGTTTGATAGAGTTTTAGTTTCTCTCCATTATACAAATATATATGTAATATATATTATATATGCAATCCTCTTGTCAGTAATTTAATGTAGTCATTTTAAGTTTAGCTATTGATGATTTAGCTATTCTTATTATGATTATTGAGCATTGAAATAAGTATAATTTAAGCAGCATTTTCCTCAGTGGCTTCTTTTCTCTGGCTCCTTGTGGTATTAAGGTAAGCAATGATATTCCAAGAGCTTCTCTTTCACTAAAGAGATGGTGAGCTAGTGGGTATAGGAAGGGGATTGTCTAAAACAACTTATCTCATCCGTCGCCAGACGAAGGTTCTAGGGTGATATTCAAGGTAGTCATCAGTCTGACTATGGAACAAGGCCAGATCAGGCACCCTCTCCTCCACTGCCCAGGGTCCTAGCCGAGGACATCCCCATGGACTCCTGGGAAGCCCTCCAGAGCCAAGCCTCTTGCCAACCCTAAAATGGCTCCCTTAATTAAGATATCTTCTTCCCCATTCCAATATCCTCCCTTCCTCCATCTCAACCATCCCAATCCCCCAAGCTCTCCCCTATCCTTTCCTTCTCCCTTCTCTCTCCCCTTCTCCTCTTTTCCCTATCCTCCCCACATCCCGCCCCCCATGCTCCCAACTTTTGCCTGGCAACCTTGTCTGCTTCCAATTTCCAGGAGGATCTATATATGTTTTTCTTTGGATTCACCTTATTACTTAGCTTCTCTGGGATCACGAACTATAGGCCCAATGTCCTTTGTTTATGGCTAGAATCCACTAATGAGTGAGTACATACCATATTCATATTTTTGGGTCTGAGTTATCTCACTCACGATAGTGTTTTCTATTCCCATCTATTTGCATGCAAAATTCAAGATGTCATTGTTGTTTTGTTTTGTTTTTTCACTGAGTAGTACTCTAATGTGTAGATGTGCCACACTTTCTACAGAGACCCACATCAGAGCACAGGACTGAGTTCCCAAGGTCCAGTTGAAGAGCAGAAGGTGGGAGAATATGACCAAGGAAGTTAGGATCGCGAAGGGTTGTCCACCCACTGAAACAGTGTGCCTGAGCTAATGGGAGCTCACCAAAGCCAGCTGGACTGGGACTGAATGAGCATGAGATCAAACTCGACCCTCTGAATGTGGTTGACAATTGGGGCAGAGTGAGGTGCCAATGATAATGGCACTGGGATTTGTCTCTACTGCATGTACTGGCTTTTTGAGATCTTAGCCTATTTGGATGAGTACCTTCCTAAGCCTGGATGGAGGGGGGAGGGCCTTGGACTTCCCACAAGGCAGGGTACCTTGCCCTATCTCAGGACTGGAGGGGGAGGACGGGAGGGAGGTGGGAGGAGGGGAGGAAGTGGAAATTTTGAATGGTATTATTTACAAAGTAATAAAAAATTATTAAAAATAAAAAACAAAAAAACTAAAACAACCTATTTTTTTAGATCAGAAGCTGAAGGACCAGTGCTTGCCTTCCTACAGACTCCAGCAGAAAAGAAAAAAAAAAGCAGACAAGCAGAAATCTCATGAATAACAATAAATCCATGCCGCATTTACTCACGAAGAGTCCCACTAACCTTTGCCTGGCTAAGAGGAAGGGAAAAGTGTGAGGGCATGAATAAGTTGGGATGGTCACCTAGCTTACTTCTCTAAGGATGGTTTGGACAGATTGTCTTCCAATAAGCCTGCTTGCTAGTTGAGTAGTGATTTGGCCCCAGATTTACTGATAACTGATGTGTCTCACACTGGGAGACAAAAACTCTCACTAGGAAAGGCCTCTTCCTTATTTAGGTATTACCTGAAAGACTCAAAAAGAAACTGCCACAAAATCAACTTGCTTTTTCATTTTTCCCTGTCCAATCATATTTGTGTCTGAAGTCTGAAAGAAAGGTTCTTTTAGTTGAGAGGTGACAATATCTGAACAAATAAGTTTTGGAGTATCTCCAGACACCAGGGACACAACGAGAAATTCCAGGGCCTACAAATTACAATCTTTTGAAGACACTGTTTAGTTTTTGGAACCCATGGTTTTGTCATATGTTCTTTTAAATTATTCTTTAGAGCAAACTATTATCTTAAAATTAATTTATGTATTCTTTTACTTTGCAAGAAATGTTCTCATCTAAAATACATTTTCTCGTGCATTAATTTTTGTATTTTCTTAATTATTTATTGATTCCTCTCTGAATTCTTTTCTTTCCCTAATTTTAAGTTTTGAAGTAATGCTTTAAGAAATCTCCAAAGTAGACAGAATTATCTTTCAATAAAAGAATATATTTCATAACCATTAAAAACTGCTTTTCCATTAAAGTCACATTTTTAAATTTTTGCATGTGGAAATGCTTATATTAAGATGAATTTTAAGTTTTTAATAATCCCAATTTATAATAAAAGTACAGGAAGAAAGTAATTTTAAATTGTGTGCCATATATCAATAATTTAGCACTATAATCAGCTATATTTATTTATAGACCCAGATATATGTTCTTTTGGTAGAATTTATAATTCATATTTAGGAATGATAACTTTGTATCTTAACTTACTTAAAAATAACTCCTGTTTCATAACTTTATTTTAAATTACATGAAAAGTACATTTAAAAACCTTTACATTTAAATTTATCTAGTTTATTTACTTTTAACAATTATTTTAGACTTTTCTTGTAAACAGAGTATGCAAATATAGCCAGTACTTTAACTTATTTCTTCACCAAAGGAGAACTCCAAAAGTTGATATACTTGACATATGGAAAATAATGTATATTTTAAGTTAAATATCTAATAGGTAAATTCATTTAATCCAGACTGGCCTATTATCCTAGGCAAAATATATACTAATAACTTAAGGATATCTTTAGTTTTTTCTTACCTGCAAATTTATTGGTCAAATGTATTTTTTATTTAAGTCACATAAATTATAAAGTGTTTGAGTTCATTTGCCAGTTTTAATTTATGTGCATGGCACTCACCTGCATCTGTCATGTGAACAATATGAAGTATAAACATGCCTCAGATGTAACAATCATGTGCACAAGCATATGAAAATTCACAAGATACATTTTTCTTTTTCAAACAAACTTATGTGTTATCATTTTATGTGTGTGTGTGCACTTTCATGACTTTATGTGTACTGCATATGTACAGGAACCTGAGGAGGTCAGAAGAGGACATGAGATTCCCTGGAACTACAGTTACAGGTAGTGGTGACCTGCCACAAGGATGCTGGGAACCAAACCCAGGTCTTCTGCAAGAGCAACAAGCACTATTAAATGCTGAGTCATATCTCCAGTCCCATAAAATATGTTGCAACCTCAAAGATTTTAAGGATTTTAATGGATTTATCATCTGTCAGCTCTTCTGACTGTTGATCTGATTATTTGCTCCATAGATCTAAGCAAGTCTTTAATTGTGTTCTTCTAAAGATCTGGTTTTCAGCTGAAACAAAGTATAAAATGTATCTTACAAGTTGAGTTCACAATCTAAGCATAATTTTTAAATGCCTACTCTAAAATAATAATTAAAACATAGTACAGAAACTATATAAACCACTCACCTAGAGATCTACTTCATTATCAAATACTATGGATTTCAACATGATTGTTATATTTTTTTAAAAATAAGTTTGTAATTTGTTTGTTTACATATGTAGTTCTGGAGACTGAATCCAAGACATTCAGTGTTAGGTGAATACCAAGACACAGAGATACATCCTTGATCCCATGTTAGGCTTCTACAGGACTGGCAACACAATAGGCTTCTTTGCACAGCATCTCTGTCCATACTGGCAGTATACTGTGCTATGGCGTTGTAAAAGCTATGGAATCACTAAATGAATGGAATTTTTGGGTCCCTCACAATCCTATGGGACCACAGTTGCACATTCTGTCATCACTGATTAAAAAAAAATCAATGTTCCAGCCACGACTACATAGCTTGTGGGTTTTTAAAAACTATTTTAATTATTTGCTTATTTTATTGATATTTTGCTTGCATGTATGTCTGTGTGAGATTGACAGGTCCCCTGGAGCTGGAGTTACAGACAGTTGTGGACTGCTATATGGTTGCCAGGAACTGAACCCAGGTCCTCTGGAAAAGCAACTGGTGCTCTTAAGTGCTGAGCCACCTCTCTAGCCCCAACTACATAGTTTGTTAAAGACCCTTGAAAACCATCCAATCCAAACAAAATTATCTTCCTCCAAGGAAAGAGTAACTCTTCCATCCCTCTTATTTCTTTTTTCTAAAATTTATTATGCATACAATGATCTGTTAACATACATACACCAGAAGAGGCACCAGATCTCATTATAGATGGTTGTGAGCCACCATGTGGTTGCTGGGAATTGAACTCAGGACCTCTGGAAGAGTAGCTAGTGCTCTTAACCTCTGAGCCATCTCTCCAGCCCCCCCTCTTATTTCTTAAAAACAAGATGTAAATCATCCATGTGGAAAGAATATTATATACCTAAAGATTTTTTAATATTTTTGTACTAGAGAATGTAATGTTAAGGAGCTCTACACAAATATTGAGCTCTGTGATCATTTAAAAAAGTGTGATCAATTAGAGATAAAAATTTGCTCCCATACAGATAGATATTTGTATCTATCTACAAACAGGTTGTATGTCATATTAAAAATTAGAATCATAAGAACTATATGCAATAGTGAGTTTCCTCATTTTTCTGGAAATTAAAGTTAGTAAGGGTCAAGAATTTTTGTTCGGTGTTGGGAATGGAATTCAGGGCATAGAACATGATAAGAACTCTACCACTGAGCTATATCCTTAGCCAAGATGAAGAATTATAGTTCATATTTCTAACTAAAACTTCAAAAAAAGTAATGGAAACAGGTTTGTACGTGGGTCAGGAAGATAAGTTACATTGTGGGTAAGGTAAATGGTGCAGTGTGAGGATGTGGAGAAAATCAACCATTTTGTTCTGCCTTGGGGATAAGGAGTAAAGAAGATTAAAAACTATAAATGGGTGTGGGGAGGGAATGGGAAAGAAAGAAAAGAGACAAGACGAAGGCACCTGCCAAGGACTTTTACCAACCTCATTCCTTAAAGATTAAAGTTGGCCATTGTCTTTTAATAGCAGGGGTTTCAAATATAGCTGATAGCTTTAATACAGACTGATGTTATTTAGGTGAACAAGATGGTCATGAAGACTTTATTCTTATAGGGAAAAGATCTCTGTGCTGCCAAAATAATGTGATCAGTATGACCAAACATTGCCAGTATATTTTGCTTTCTAAGCCCAAGTGTTTCTAGTAAGCATACTAAGAAACACTCTATGTGCCATGCACATTATAATTGACAGCATAATTATATTGCCTTGCAATTATATTGCACAAGATATTGTTTTCTGTTACTTAGATTCAACATGCTCATCTCTTATGGTTTAAAATTATTAAAAATATAATTTTTAGTGGTGTCAACATAGTGAGTAAATATTCATAATCATAATCTTTTTTTCTTTTTCTTTTTGTTTGTTTTTGTTTTTTTTCAAGATAGTGTTTCTGTAGCTCTGGAGCCTCTCCTGGAACTAGCTCTATTGCTGAAAGAAGTTGTTCCCAATTTGCCCTTTTATAAACAATACAGCAACAAATATCTCTGTGTGTTTTAAAACTTATTTCCCTAATTTATACACCCAAGGCACATTTTCAAACTCTAATATTAGTGTCTCCAAGACTCTCGATGCATTTTGCCAAATTGCTTCCAGGAAACATGACAATTATAAATTCATAGCAGTGTAGATGGTGGTTACAGTTTTAAAAAGCATCTACTAACATGGAAAAGAACTAAAATAAATTACTGAGCCAACCAAGCAGATATACTGTTGTCTTATTGTTGTAATTACCATCTCATTAATTACTGAAGGATTTTTAAACTGTAATTATTAATAACTATATTTCCTTTCCTGTGCATTGACTGTTCTTAGTATATTCTACTGAGTATATTTTCTCCTTTCTTATTGAGTCATAGAGTGCCCACACTTCTTATGCCAGGAGAAATTACTCAGTGGCAGGTTTCAGTGTAACCATTATCATCTTCTGAAAGGGGTAAGATGATCCGCTAGCCCAGTGGTTCTCAACCTCGCTAATGCTGTCACCCTTTAATACAGTCCTTCATGTTGAGACCCGAACTATAGATTCTTTTGTTTCTACTTCATAACTGTAATTTTCTACTGTTATGAATGTAAATATATTTAAATATCGTCAAATACTGTTGTAATATAAATATCTGATATGCAGGATAGCTGATACACAATTCCCAAAGGGGTTGCGACCCACAGGTTGAGAACCATTGCTCTAGTTCCAATCTACTTGTGTACTGAAAGTCATTACCCTCTCTCAAAGCACCCACCAAAGCCATTTAACTTCTAACCTCAGCCAAATTAGGGTTTTTCAGAAGATTAAATGAGATTTTTTTTGTCTTTACCCTCTTACAAAGATCTACAAACAACAGCCAGCCAACCTGATCCACACAGCAAGAAGACATTGAGGCAATCATCAACCAATCCATCTAGCAGCCTTAGAGTGAATTTTCAATGAAAACTTTAACTATGAATTTAAATACAAAATTACTTTCTATACACACAAATACATGAATATATTACGTGCTAATACACATGCATGCACACAATAGATTACATTTTTATGATGATCTTACAAGTCAATATCAATTAACACTAACTACTAGGTGTAACAGTTTGGGAATGAGGCCATTCTCCATGGTTTATAATTTATAAGAAGTACAGGCCGGTAACAAATAATGTGGCATGAGTGGTCATAAAGTTCATGTTCAGATGAACACAACGGATAAGGGTGTCATAGTATAGGTGGGAGATTGAAGGATAGGAAAGGGGGAAGCAAGAAGAAAATGGAAATATATTACAAAATCTTTTTTCATTCTACCTCATGTTACCTTTAAATCATTTTACACCACCCTCTTTGAAGCAAGAGGGCTTCTGGAACACATTTCTTTCACCTACCTGGACTAATATATCCGTTTTTCCTTCTAGAGCTCTGACAACCTACATGAAAACATCTTCTAATGAAACGGTTATCAAATTTCTGTATTTCTTGTCCAGAAGAGAACAAAAAGCAGAAACGATACCTGATGGTTTTCTGCTAAGCCTTTTATGAGTCCAGTAGTAGCTTAGGTCTCACTGATGATAAGACGGAGATAACGTTCGATCACATACACCAGTCAGGTAGTAAATAACACAGCTTCCTGTTTTAAACAGGCTAGCTTCTCAGGTTTTGCAAGTTTTCAGAAAGATATCAACTTGTTACAGTTCTTCCTTTTTGTTATTTACTGTGCATACTCAGTTCTCAGTTGAGTTATCTGGGGATGGATATTGCTGACATTCAGCAGCTATCTTGCAGGCTCTTTACCCATTTGGCATTGTTCATTTTTGATGTGAGGTGGGGGTGACAACTTCTCATTAATTATTATGTTCACCCATGGTTAGGCTGGCAGAAAAATGATATGGGAATTTCCCCTTAAGGAAACGATGAGAACAGCAAATTTGCCCAACTGAAGATGATGAGGACAAATACATCAGCAAAGGTTTTGACAATTCATGAAGACATGAGCTTACATTTCAGCTGTGGTTGCATAGTTGCATGACCTCAGGACAATCACTGAGTCAGCCTTGCTGGACCCTAGTTTTCTCCTCTATAATTGCAGCAGATATTTCTTTCCTAAAACTGCCATGAAGTCAATTAAGAAAAACTTAGTAGTTTCTATGTAAAGTGCAGAGTTCAAGCAATGTAAAGTTTAGGTTGAATTCCACCCCGACATAGCTTCCCAGGGCTGGGAATATATCTTCCCTATGTTTTGACATCCCTAGGGACCTAGTGAGATGCTGGACACCAGACACACTCATCTAATATTGATGGAAATAGTTCCAACTGTATGTTACAATCTCTGATACTGACTAATTGGACAGGTCAATGATTCACCAAGGGATTATTAGATATGCATAAGGGGAGGGGAAAGAAAGAGGAACAAAGAGGAAGAAAGAGACTAGAAATAAGAGAACTTAATTTTTACTTTAAAGTGCCTAGTGAGTTGTTGGGTGTTTTAGAGTTTTCTTTTCTGTGTGGTAGAATGCGTGACAGAAACCTCTTAAGAGATGAAGGATTTCTTCTGTCTCATAGTGGAGAAGTCATGGAAGAATTTACATTACCAATCAGGAGACAAAGCTGGAGCTGGAGCTAGAGGGAGATATGACCTTCCAGATCTACCCCTAGCCATCCACAGGTGCCACCTAGTCCCCAAAGACTCCACAACCTCCTAAAGCAGCACCACTAACTAAAGACCAAGTGCTTGGAGAAATAAGCCTGTGAGTGACATTTCAGATTCAAACCATAACTCAGGGACCAACATCTAATAAAATACCAAGAGATACAAGTAGTATTAAATAATAGCTAGACAGATATTTAACTATCTGTGATAGTTTCTTTTAACATAAACTTTCCAGAAACTAGAATCACTGAGTAGGGTGCATCAGTTGAAAAAGTGTTCTTATTTCCTTAATTGATGTGGGAAGACCAACCCGAAGTGTGCTGAAACTTCCTGGTAGCAGCTCAGATATGTTAAAAGAGCATGGAAGAAGCCATATTATTTGCCCCCCCCCCTTTTTTTGGCTTTCCTTTCTTTCTGCTGAAGTAATTTACCCTTTGCTGCTGCTCATATCAGGACCAGTTTTCCCAGGCTTCCCTCATGGACTAAGGGCAACTGGCTCTCCAGGAACCTTCCAGGTTTTGGTGCCAGAGTGAGACTTGTGGACTGAGCAGCTAACAGGTTGATGATGTCCCCAGAATTGAGACAGCACCGTTGAACTACTCTAACTTTCACTGATATCAGAATCAGCATACCTAGGCTTCCATTCTTGACTAAGGACCGGCAGCTCTCCAGAACCTGCTTAAAGCCTCATGGACTGAGAAACTACAAGGTTCAAAGCACTCTCAGTTGAGACAACTGATACTATTTTAACATAAACTGATTCAATCCTAAGGGTTTGCATCTCTAGAGAACCCTGACTAATAATACATTGTTTTCATCTGTAGTGTATCTGATACAGCTTATTCACACTGGCTAAATGACTTTCCTTTTGTGCCTACTTTAATGTAAAACACAATTCTTATCTCTAAGGGACTTGTCTGTAATTTATTCGGCAGACAAATATGAGTGACTGTGGCCCAAGTTCATGGGTTCAGGTCTTCGTAAATAATGTGTTTCAGAGAGCAAATGGTTTAATGAGGCTTTTATAGTTAGAGAAAAAATTAAGTCACAAGTGGAGGCTCTTTTGAAATATTTTGGTGGGAATGTCATAGAGACAGCTTAGAGTAAAGTAGGGAAAACTCTGCTATAAGGTCTCAGGTGCTTACAGGCTGGTGGATCTAGTGATCTGTGAATAAAGTCCAAAATGTTTCTCACCCGATAGTCACAAGAATATTATGTCAGACACAGAGATGGGCAATTAATTAATATTAAGAGGACTAAAGATGAGTCAAGGTGATATGACTCTATTAATTAATATTAAGGGGACTAAAGATGAGTCAAGGTGATATAACTCTAGACATGGAACATTCTAACTCTCTACAAGTATGAAATTCTAAGCAATCAGTCTTGTAGATAAAACCTCTCTGTAAGTATGGCTTCTTTTCTGGGAACTTCAGTTTATAGCAATAAGAGCTTATACTTTACTGCTGGATGACTGGATTCAGAACCCATCGTGTGTGTGTGTGTGTGTGTGTGTGTGTGTGTGTGTGTGTGTACACGCACACATGATGTAGGGGGTGATTATGCACATGCTTGTGCATGTGTATGAAGGGCAGAGACTGATGCCACGTGTCTTCTTTAATTGATCACCACCTCACTTTTTCTGACAGGGATTTTTTCTGGACCTGGAGTTCACATGTTTGACTAGACTGACTGTCCAGTGAGCTCAAGGGATCTGTCTATTTCTAGCTTCTCGATGCTAGGGTTATAGGTTTATGCCACCACACTTGGCTTTTTATGTTGGTGACGAAGATCCAAACTCAGGTCTTTGCATTTACATGACAAACACTTTCCAAGCTGGGCCATCTCACCAACTGCTGTGGGAACTCCTACATTCAATAGCCTTTAAGATACTGGCCCACTTTGGGTGTGGTCTCATGTACTATAAATGCAGATGCCAAGTGTGCATGGACCTTTTGACTGCTGGATTCAGTTCCAGGTCCCAGAACACGGAGAGGACTATGGGTTGCTACTCTTTTGTGAGTTTATCCCACAAGTAAATAAACCTTTGTTGTACTCCATTCTGGGATATTGTGGAACTCTTTTGTATGTCAATATCCAGCCTCTCAGTCTCTCACTCCACTACTCAATAATGGCATGAACTCAGAACTATGAAACCTCTTTGTTAGAATGAAATGTATGTTTTGTAGCCATGATTCATATTTCTCATTATTCGTGAGAAATAAATGAGTTGAGACTATATGCTAACCTGTGTGTATCAAGTGACTCATGCCATATGTTAAATACTAGTATAGTGTACTATGTTCCAAATGAACATATGGAACACCAATGCAAGTTCTGAGGAATTCAGAAAACATGCCCATCTGGGCCAATAGAATGGAAAGTTTTCACAACAAAGCAAGGGCCTCTAACATACATAGAACTTCATGGAGTAGAAGGAGGGAAAGTTTCCAGGAGAGGGTTAATAGATTTCCCAGTCAGGAGCTAATAGGGTTTATCCTTGTATGAGGTAGTCATGCAAATTACATTAGGTAACAGGTAAACATGGGTCCTGGTAAAGGTACTCAAAAGTCAAACACAAATGTATTCATATGTCTATCTGTCTACGCATCATTAATCCATCCACTCATTTGTAAGATGTATATTCAGAAGCTCTATCTATCCAACAAATTCAGAACCACCAGAATGTCTGCTCCATGGCAGATGGAATTATGTGTCCAACAGTTACTTCTTCACTCCTCACACTTCAGGGGAGTTTTTTATCTCTAGATTCAGTGAGACATAAACACATGGTTGATGATATCTCAAGATAGCCCTGCTAGAAGTAGAAGGCCTTGAGATGGAGTACAGAGAGATAAAATTGAGCATCAATCTTAACTGGATTATAAAGAGCTAAAGCAAGTGCAATACTTTTTATAGTGACTGGAAAGCTACTTGTTTGGTCGTGTCACCCAGTCCCAGGCATCCATCTACCCTAAGAGTCTGGAATGTTGGAGTGGAAGTTCCATCACAAGCCCCCTCCTCTGGGAGTTGCCTCAGTCCAGACTCCACCTCTGAGAAAACCCACCAGAGGATGACCGCTCCCCAGAGATGCTCAAGACCACTCCCATAGGGTATTTAAATTATATCGCAGAGAACAAACACGTGGTTTTCCAGTCTTTCTTTCCGGATTCACTCTTGGGGGCTGAAGGGCCACCCAGAAGCATTGGTATCCAGTAAACCTTTTTTTTTTTCTAATTTGGTTTGATTTGGTCTGATTTGGATTATTGTATCAGTGGAGAGGCTTATCGGGTTGCAGAAACTTTTTACTACTATAGGTTTTGAGTAACATAATTTCCATGTTACCTTAGTCATTTGATACACACAGGTTGGCCTATAGTCCCAACTCATTTATTTCTCATGAATAGTGAGAAATATGAATTATGGCTGCAAAGCACACAGGAATCATTCTAGCCAAGAGAGCTGAGGCACAAAGAGGTTTCATAGTTCTGAGTTCATGCCATTCTTGAGTGGTAAAACTTGCTGGGGAGATGACTCAGCTGGCATCTTATCTAGATCTGTGTAGAGAATTTTCAAAGCATTTCTACAGATGTTTTATGACTACAAAACCATACCAACTTTTGTCATACTGGGGTTATTATCTGCCCATGGGTGTCTCCATGGACCACACTATAGTGCACACAAACATTTCTTCCTAGAACTGTACAGAACACCAAAAGGAGAAGCAAGGTCTGGTAATCTAACTGCAAGTAAGGGAACCCACTATCATCCATGGCTAAATAGTGAGGACAAAATTCAGACTGCTTTCTCACCGTTGATATGACAAGATGCTACAGGCTTAAGACTAGTCAA